GATTTTCCTTTCTCGAGAGTGATTCATGATGTTTAGTAGAGGAACACTATTTACGAGTAGTTGTATCAACTATTAACGTATCACGTTAGAGATACCTACTATGGAATTTACGATGGAATTTCATTACATTTCAATTTAAAATATCGAATCGAAATTAAAATTAAATCAATGTTTAAAATATAGAAGATAAAATGCAAGGATCCATTTTATGAGACTTTTAATCACTTGAAAACATATCACGAATTAATTCGTACTCAATTTATTTCATACATAAAATGTTCTTTGTCACTTTTGTTGTTCGAATTACACGAAATCAGTATTCGATTCACGCAACTAATTGTTCTTCTTCCAACTATAATCGGACTTGAATTTGTTGTAAAACAATCTTCTAAACATACTAAATCTTATTAAATAATTTAAAAAATCAATGATTTGCTGACGTAAATCGGTCTTTAAGTGATTGAATGATGTTTAGCTGTGTTAAAGTAGATTGTATTCAGCCTTGTGGCTTTATCGACTTTCGAGGGTTGAAATAAAACCGACTTGGACAAAGCGTCGCACGGAAGGAGGCCGGGTTCGCGTGATGAGATAATTTCGTCCTCGGTTGAAGTCACCTGCAAACGAGCAGGTGTGTCCTTCGAGTAAAGGAATTTGAAGAGTTTAACGTGGAACTGAAATTGTCCAACACCTGTTCTGCCCTGGCTATTTTTAAGTTACAACAACTGCAAGATAACTTCTGTATCCTGGCGATAATTAGAATAAGAAACTGCTGCTCGTAAAAAAAATGAGTTGCTTAGGACAATTGGCATATTTTTATTTCTCAAAGTTGCGCAGTTAACTGTTCAACTACCAAAAAATGGAAAAATATACAGTAGGTAACGAAAGTATTTGAACTCTTATCACACAAAACTTTATTATGTGCGTTGTGTCTAAACTACGGATGTTTATGGAAATTGATTTTTTCCTGTACATTATTGAAGAAGTTATTAAAAATATATATGAATATATAATATAATAAAGGTAGATATGTAGTATTAGAGAAATAGAAAAAAATCTTTTTAAATGTTATAATAAAATATTATATGCATTGCATGCATTTTAAGTTTCCCTGCAGGTAAATGCATAAAAATGCAAACATCTTGAGCATACAATAAATGTTTCATTAAATATCAATACATATTAATGGATTGCATAATAATTATTTCTGTGATTTCTCTGAAATATATGCACGTATACGTATACTTGTATTAAATACCTTGTAATTTTTATACGTGCTGTTTAATTTGTTTCAAACTTGGCCAATATAATCATGAGAGTCTCATTACATTGTTAACCTCAAAACGTTTTATTTAATGCACATAACACGTTCATAAAATGTTCCGAATACTTTTGTGAGCAACTTTATAAAACAACTGTTAACATCAATTCCAAAAATTGCGATTGCTTATTATTACAGGCGAGTAGGTTTCACGTGGTACTAATTACACATTCTTCCGCGATGAACGTGCCTCGAAGCTCGCGGTGATTTTGTTTTTCTTGGACAGTTTACGAGCATATTTTTCCAACGAAATACCCGTTCCTTTTTAACGCAGCCGAATTTTTCTGTCTTCTCTACTCTATCGTTGCTGTTAATACGAAAAGAACGCGTGCATACGATTTCTCTTCATACCCACAACTGTTCCAAACGATCTTGTTCCGCGTCACGTTTCAATTGCTCGTTACTCATAGAGAGAATCGCGTTTCCAACGTCGAAAGCGTTCGTTAGGTCTCGCGGAACGCGACAACCGAGCTTTCAGAATCGATCGAACGCCTGCCGATGAAATCGTCCTCAAAAAGTACGAAGCGAAAGTTTTTCGATTTGGCTTTTTCGCGTCAAAGTGAATTCGAAGGTAGCTCTCAACTCTTTCGGTCCGTTCGTTTACTTGGGAAAAGAGGTCAGCCGAGTTAAAAAGAGCCACTCTTCCGAGTTCCGTTTATTCGAAAATAGTAAGGAATTAACTCGTACGATTAAAAATAGTCCACTGTTGACTCTACGCGGAATGCACGCCGTTTTCGTCTTCCCTCTCTTCTCAACATTTTTTTCACCTGACATGTTTATACGTTTACACGTTTATACGTGAGATGGAGATTGTGTAAATGTCAGAAAAAATTGACTCTATCCACGATCACGTTTTCTCGTGACAATCGGGCTCTTTGATTGTCCGAGATAACATTCAGAATTCATGTGGGTTGCGCGTTCATTGATCGAATAATGATCATCGAATAAAAGACTGTCTTCTTCGAATATACGATATGAATGGTGTATTTTTTAAATGATATATTAATAGGAATCGAATGAACGTTCAATTTCTAAGAGAATCAACGACAGGTACATAGGTTAAGTACTATAGATTCTAGGCCGCTCTCAATTTTTATTCGTTCCTATTTAATTTCCAGTGTTGGTTTATATTTCACAGTACATTGTAGCTATCGTTCGATTATTTGTCACTAATTATATACAAGAATTACTAAAGCGCTACTATCATTGAAAATTAAACAATAACTGAGTAATTATTAAGAACAATATTAAATTCTCACTACCGAATATCATTCTCTCTATAGATTTTTATATAATATTCTCTATTAATGGATATTAAGAATACCTGTCGCTCGATTCTTTATTATTAATGTACAAAGCAAGAAAAAAATTTACGTAAATTCGTATATTCGTTGCTACACAAATAACGATCTGTTAGAGGCCCTCTGCAGTAATTGTGTAAATTTCAATGCCTATAATTAACTCGAAGGTTAATGAACCTGTATTGAGAACTTTAATTCCTTTCACGCGTACACGTGTGCATGTACTTTAGTGCACGTTCAAAACCGCGATTTCTAATGGAAACGCGTAGCAATTCGGTGAATCAGTTTCCGAGAATTGTCGAGGAAAATTGGCACGCAGCGATGAAGTTTTTATCAGCATGTTGTAAATTGCAAACGGAACGTAACGACAGGAACGGCTACGTGAATTCTCGACGTGAGGAAGAACCGATGGAAACGAAGTTTCACGATGGAAACTGTCGTTCTAGTTGTCGACAAACTGCCGCCGTTTATAGGGTTGTTCATCCCGTGCGAACGATCTTAACGAGTTGAAACAACTTTAATTAAGCGCATTACGCTAGGCCGCCCCGTTGAACTTTGCCTATCGCTCTGACACGGGCGAATAATGCCTTTCAGCTCGAGTTACTATTTACTCCTGAAGCATGTGTTCTACATGTGCGTATATTAATTTTAGATACAAGGTTAAAAACTGAAAACAGAAAAAGGACTTCTGTCGTAAAGCGTAAAATAACGATCCGTGGAATATCAACGTCAAGTTGCACAGAATCCTGCGCTGTCAAGACGTGGAAATTATACAGGCATCAGGATCACATTAAAAAGAAAGATCCTTTTCTCACGTTCGTAACACACGTTGTGCCTCCTCCGCACGGTGCATACCCACTAATTTATCATGACCCGTGACTCCGAGACGAGGAGAATGGGAAGAAAGAAGAAGAAGAAGAAGAAGAAGAAGAAGAAGAAGAAGAAGAAGAAGAAGGGAACGTACAGAAAAAGAATCCCGGCCATCCCGTGGAGACCGGTTTCCTCTCGTTCTTGCGTCCCTTCTTCTTCACTTATTTTTCTTATCTCGCTCCGGTAAATCGATCTCATCCCTGCACCTTGAACAAAATCGAATTCGCCGTGCCGATTGTCGCTGGCCCCTCCTTGCCCCTCGTACGAGTCTTGTAGGACACTCGGATATTTTATAAAAAAAAACAGTATCTGTTTTATCATGACCCGACTTAAATATAATTGTATTCGTATGTAGTCTGTGCAAGAATCGAAAATAATACAGCAACATTAGATAATTAAAACTGTTAATTACATAAAGATCTTAAAACCACATCAAAAATCTCTATGAATCAAAATTTAACGTATAGAGAAATTTAAGATGGATATAACCGTGACTAAATTGCAGAGTTGTATTTTCGAAAATATTAGAAAAAGATTGAACCTCTACGTTTTCACGTTGTGTGTAATTTGTCACTTCGGAATTTCCCATAAATGCACAAAGCTCGTAACTAAATTTTCGACATAAATTTTCTTTCTGGAATAAATGTATCTGGATTTTGTAAATGTGATGCCACCATTTCACGTCTGATATTTTATGTGGTTCCTTTTATATGTGTCTATCGCGAAGATTAGTGAGAGCAACTTTGTGTAATAACGGATTCGTTTTTCCATGCGACGTGACATTTATGTACCATTCGCTACATTTAGAACATTCCAATATTGTCATTGAGAAATGAAAGATACATTTTGGAATTCTACAGTTTTTGTCATATACTGCGAGCTACCACTTTTACTAACTGGAATTGATAATTTGTGATAATTAATTACAATACATATACAATAATTTAATTCCTAACTAATATCATTAGATTCATATTCTAAGGGATAAAAATTTAGCATTTACTTTGCTTTTAAATCCCTGTATTTTTAATTTCAATTTTGTTAATATAACTGAATCTAAAACGTAAAATAAACTTAAGTATCTTAAATTTTTGCAATATAATATAATTTATAGTAGTCATCTGTGACCTCGTGAACTAACACCACACTATACTGCACAATGCTACATATAATACCACTTACCGCGATCAGTTAAATATTAATTAAATTTATACAAAAAAGCGAAAACAATTCTTCACAATTTATAATTGTCAAATTCATTACAATCAGTTGTAAGTGCGCGGAGATCTAATCATCTTTGAACAACATCATCAACAAAATCGCTTTTAATCTTTTAATCCTCTATAGAGGCAAAGAAAGAAGCGTATTTAGAAACAACAGTGACGAAGCATTTGTTGGCCGAAATTAATCTGGCTGATCACCTTTGCAAAGTGAATTATAATATCGCGAAAACCCTGACAGGACCGGGGTGCGTGATTGATTTTTTTTAACGTGGATTCCTTTTGATATAGGCATGGCGACCGCCGGTCTTGAGGTGCGCGAAGCTGGACGAGCGTTGCGAGTGCAAACGGAAGCGCCGCATCTCGTTTCCATGGGAAGCGGACGTTTGTCAACGGCGGTGACCCTGCATCCTTTACCCGAAGGTAAGCCACCAAATACTTTCTTACGTTTTCCAGTTGAATCCAGGTCGATGCATGTAAACTATCGTTTATTTGGAAGATTTCATTTGATTTGAAATCGATCACTCGATACTTTTCGAGAAGCTAACCTGCCAACCTAAGAAAAGATGACTTGTCATTGATGCATTGATGTGGAATTAAGATCGGGGAAAGAGTTTAAAATGTTTTAATTGCAATAAGTGTAATATTGCTCTGCAATGGTCAAAACGTATCGAATATGATGAATTATAATTTGACTAACGTATTAATATTATAAATATATTAATCAGATTGATCAAATTATAATTGTAGAATTATTACAAAAATTTTGATTAATTATATATACAATAATTACATAATATTTCTAATTATATCATATCTAACACTAAACGTTATACTACACAGCAATAAATGTTCAGATAACGAGAATTCGGATAGAAAAAAATTCCATTATAATGGGACGAATGATCGTTAATTGCTGTTAATGATTAGATTTACTTTAATGGATTTACAAATAACTCATAAGTGGAGATATCAAGTACTAATTCTTCCTGGAATTTTGTACTTATCTACAGAATACACGCATATCTATAGAATACACATATATCTCGATCTCTTTATATATTCTATTATAAACAACAAGTAAGTATAGAAACTTTAGAATTCCAGGAAAACAGCTTCAAAGAAATTTACTATATTTGATTTCCCAGAGATATCCTCCTTTGCTCTGTTATTTGCGTACCACACACAAAGTGGAACTTCTGACACGTTCTATACCATCATTAAACTTTATCAGACGGAATTAGTACGTGTTCGAATCACGGATTAAATTTGATGAATCATTGCTCGTTACGGCTACAACGTTATCTAGCGAACGCTTGGTGGCTCAATTGTTTTCGAGATACCAACGAAAACAAAATTTTATGTCTAACGAGGAAATATACTGAACTCATATACGTTGAATTTGATGAAACTCATTTATTTGCATTATTACATAATTTATTATTTATATAATTTGGGCAATTGAAATCATATGCATATTCGTGAAAATGTTAAAAATAATATACCTAATACTTTCATATCTCAGAAGCTCTGCTGTATTAACCATCTAGATCTACCAGTTATTTGTTTCCTCTCATTTAAAACGTTGCCTTTCCAAATCTCTATGGAATTACATCTCTCTCTCTCTTCAACTGAATCGCACCTCAATTAGTAGAAACACTTTTTAAATACGATTCGTGACGTTTAAACGATCTGTCGAGCAAGAGGAAGCAGAGTTCATCAGTAACGAGATCACGAGCCACGGTATGGCCTGCAATTAGGTGGCAGACGTCGCGCAATTAACTCGGTAAAATTCATCAACGCGTAACATCGTCCGGCCGGTAGGTCTATTTATTCCTGAAATAATCGAGACACGCCGGCATTTCTCGCGGGCTAAGGGAACGGCGATGAATTTTTAAAAATACACCAGAGACGCGGCAGGAACCTAAGATATTCTCCGTGCACGTGCATCCGTGTCGAAACCGGAAAGAAGTTGACCGAACATAAATATTTGCTTTGTTCATCGAACAAATCGAACGGATAGATAGAGTAATAATAAAAAAAATGCGTTCACTCTAAAAGATGACACATTTGCTCCGGGATTTTGGTCACAAAATACCTTGATCCGTGATGATGTTTTATTTCTATCAAGAAGATTTTTATACTAGAAAATATTTCTATTAAAGAATATATATAATGTGTATTCGTATTTTACTAACATGTACAATAACATTATAATACTTTATAGTTTTAAATATATAAGAAAATTATAAGTACCTTCAATAATAAAGCCAAAATTATAATCTTGGAACCAGAGATAAATAATCGATGGTAACTTGTATTACGAAAATTTGAGATATATAAGTTAACTAATTTATATTTATGTCTACTAATTACGCTATTGAGCTATTAATTTACATGTACAAGGAAGTTATTAATAGAATTTATGCAATATTTCATGAAAAAAGAAAAGATTATGAGATACTAATAAGAGGATTAATAAAGACAAGCGTTATCGCGGAGGAAGCTGAAATTTCGTAACCAATCTTTTGTAATTTTTCAAGCGGATATGATACAATCGGTTATACACGGAAGGAATCAAAGGACGATAGAATGGTATGTAGCGATGGCAGAATCGATAGAACAAGATAACAATGACGTCGACCGTTTAATATGCGTGTTTTCCACGCATTCATATTTTTTTGAGCGTGAGACGCTTCCTATGCGATGCATGATTACATAGCTGTCGGTATGGTTGGAGGGATTCTATGTATAGTTGAAATTCCTGGAAGAGTAAATTAGTTTAAGTAGTATGAGTAAGCGATACTTTATCGCGTGTTCTAAATTACTCTGAATTAAATTTGATATTTTAGCATTAATAATCTCCGTTGGCATTCCAGAATCGTTCGTTCTTGAATCAGTTTCGAATCGTCTTTCTTCACATTTGAATTGTAGTTTCCTCTTTTGGAAAAATTAAATCTCTTTTTCGCTCGTTTTCAAGAAGAGCATCAATTCAGAAAATTAAAAATTAATGTAGTAATTTTTTGTCAAACTGCGTATTAAGGTGTCAACGAAGGGAATGTCATAACGTGTTGTAAATTTAAAAAAAGGTTCAATAGCACGAATAGCAAGAATATTTTAAGCATACCATTATTCAAAACTATCATTATCAAAAACTGACTACTATCAAGAAGCATATTACTTTACAATTTCGGAGGAGAACAGCAGTCACAGAAACAGTAAAACATATTTCTAAAGTAGGAAAGGAGATATCGTAAATTTTCGCACGTGTCAAAAGTGGCTCCGAAAATTTTGATTTGAAGATTTTGACTTATTAAAGGTGTTATGCGACGAGAAGGACAAGGTGATCGTAGATAAGAACAATTTGCAGTTGACAATTACCATAAATCATCGAATCTAGACTAGGGGGCTTGCATCGAAGTTTAGTACTTCTCAAGCGTTACAATAAAATTTATTGTTAAATAAAAACGCACGAACTTTCGGTTCGATGTATAATTTACGCTCGTATATGTTTGTGCAATGAAACGACGTAACGCCGTGTACAAAATCGATGATTACGGCTTTGAAAAAAAAAAAAAAGAAAAAGAAGTGCAACGCGACATTTTGCCGACTCCTCCAGATTGATAAGAAAACACTTTCGAGATAACGATAAATATGAGGAGAGACAAACAAATATATAGGCGGATTTAGTTGATTCTTATTATCTTTCCTTCTCCTTCCTTGGCGTATAAACTGTGGAATTTGTAGTATGGGTGTAATTTAGAATTCTCCGGCTCGTGTGCAGTCCGCGTTCCTTGCATATGTCCGTTCCTCGTTGCGCTTATTCGTTTTATCACTGCCACGAGATACTTGTACACCTGGTAAGTTGTGTATCCTTTTGAATACATTTTTGTGGCCAAATGTACACTTTTCAAACCAATAGATTGGAATTTAGAGTTTTCTCTCAACCAGTCAGATTCTATTGATATAGGAGTTAAATTTCTTTCGTTTTCTTCTTCTTCTTTTTTACAATCGTTTTGTAGAAATACTGAAATTAGATATTTCTTTTGGTCATTGTAATTAACACTGTGAACTTTTGAAATTCGAGGAATTTCGTAAAATCTAATACATAAATAGAAAGTTGTGTTCTTCGCTATTATATGTTACAAATTTTCCCCTATTTTTATTGTTTATTTTTTAACTTTGCATTTTTAAATATTCAAGCGACTCTGTGTAAAATATGTAGGAATAGAAACTTGTGTTCTTTATTGTACTATAAAGCTTGCACGAGCAAATATACCAAATTTTCAGAGCACGCGTTGTTGACAACATTTAACAGATGAAATCATTATTTAAATTTCAGTATTTTTAATTGTTTCGACAAGAACGAGAATTCGCATGAACAATCTGTAGATCACGTACGAGTCGCGTATAGTACGCGGTTTCTTCCCGTAGCCGGTGCGTCAGAAATAAATTTCGTGCGAACACGAGCGCTATGCCCAGAAACGGGAGAATTTTATTTCGTGTTTCCGGAAACATACTATTAATACCTTTCCCGAAAGCGAACGAATTCAAAGAGCGACGCACTGCGACGTTTGTAAACTTTATCAATTATTCGACTACCTGGTAAAGTGGTAGAATAAACTACTTGGTAAAGTAGAAGAACCAGACGAAAGAAAAAAGATCTTAACGCTACGTGCTATTTGTGCTGGTGCACGTTTGCGCATACAAAATAGACAAGGAAATACGAAAAAGTACTAAGAGTGAACGAGGCTAAAGAAGAAGTGGATGGAGATGATGGTAATGAAGAAAATGAAAATAACGATAGTAGACGATGATGAAGAAAATAAAATAGAAGAACTAAAAAAAAAAAAAAAAATAGAAAATAATAACTTATCTTAAAAAAAGAATCCTTAAAAAATAAAGAGAAAGTTGAAGATAATTATGATGAAGAAAATAAAATGGAGGGACTAAAAAGTCAACGACGAGAAAGAGAAAGAAGAATAAAACGAAGAAGAAAGTTGGAAAAAGTCGCAAGGAATCGCACGATGACTGTGTACATCCGCGCGTGGAAAATGTGCACGTGCATAGCCGCGTATATGATGACGCCTCTGTACGCGGTGTATAAATGGCGAAAAGGCGTTTACGCGGTCGAAGGGGAGCTAGAAGAGAGGACAGTAACCCACGAGAAACGTTCTGTCTCATAAGACGTGTTGCGTTGCACTTAAATATAGTCGGTGCATAGAGAGAAAGACAGAGAAAGCTCACGAGGTTCGGAAAAGTTCGTGCGTACGTGTCGGTGAAAGAAAGACGGAGGCAAAACGCGAGAGTGAAACGGCGAACGCAATATAAATTATTGCGTGAGTCAATTCTCAAAGTGGCGTGTATTTTCAGGTGACGTTCGTTTTTCTCGGTTGTCCTATTATTCTCTTTTAGCACGACGA